GAGAGAGAAGCCAGCAGCGGTCCTCATTTAATTATGGACAGAAAAAAGTATGCAAAAACATTCAGGGGTTTGTGTGGTTCTTCTGGGCTGCCACCCACACGAGCTTCACTTTACCACAAATCACCTTTGAGTTCTTGGATTTAATCCTTTTAAAAGAGCACAGTTCACTTCCTACAGAAACAAGTTAAGGCACAATCCTTTCTAATCAAATATTATTCCAAGACTCTCCAGGACCACCCCCAAAATCCAATAGCTTCCAAACATACACAAGTAAAAAGAGATATGAGTATGTGCTAAAGTAACAAACCAATTAGCCGTGCTGTTTTTAAAAATGCATTTGGGGCCTTTTTCCTGTTCTCATGTTAACCCCTACTCCCCATCAAATGAAAGTAAAGCACGCTGTTTAAGTCAAACAATTCAAGTTGAAGCTACGCAAAAGGTAAATGACATAAACATGTTTACGTGCTTATGTAGCAAGCAGATTTCTAGGACAGACTTCAGGATAAGTTAAAAAAAAAAAAAGACCCAAAACAACAACAACAAAAAAACGCATCAAACAGGAAATCAACATGTGAGTTTGTAAGCAGGATTTCTAGCTAACCCGCACACACGAACCTTGGAAACATATTGTGTGTGTGTGTGTCTCTCCTGGCAAAGAGCTTTTTCTCCCCGGGCAGAGCGGTGGGATAAACTCACAAATAGCATACATTCAATTAGTCTACCAGATCCACACATCCCATGTTAGGGTCTGTGAAGTGGTGGCAATGACATCACATTTACAGACACGCACACAGTGGCAAGACCCCACTCACCTTTTCAACGATGATAAGGTCCCCAACTTGGATGTTGGCACTCTTCACCTTCACAGTCCCTGCAAAAAAACAGGGCCAAGACACATCATGTCTGAATTCATTTCGGTTCTGCGTGTGTTTATAGAGCCCCCACTAGCCTGCAACGCCAATACCGTACCCCAGAAGCTTGTGCCCCCTGCCACCGCATCATCACCGCCTGCCTCTCAGAGGCAAGGTGCACCTGCTCGAGAGACGGCTCCAGAAACTAATCCCCCTGATTAGAGCACTGGGAGGTGCTCACACCCTCAGGTGAGATCTCCTGTCTTAACAGTGCCTCAGGCGCTTTTCTAAATTGCACCTTAGGAGATCCTTTCAGCCTCAGTAAACACGTACGTGTACACACACACACACACACACACACACACACACACACACACAGAGGAATGAAGAAGAGTATTAAGAGTTAGATCCATGCACAGAAGGGCAACTCAATTTTCACCACCACCATAAAGAAAGAGCTAACCCAAAACGACTGATTGTTTTTTTTTATAAATATGCAACTGCTCTATAGTTTGGTTTATGTGATTGTGACCGGACTGTACTTCTGCTGGGTGTTTATCTGGATAAACAATAACAGCTAACATTAAAAACTACTTCTGTGCTAAGCACTGTACAGCTGCTGACATACTGACAGCGTCACTCACGCTAGAAGGAGGTGCGATTATCTCGTTTCCAGGAGAGGAAAGGGGGCTCAGAGATGCTGTCTCACTCTCACAGTGACAACAGGTCAGTGCCAGGGTTCACATCCACGTCTGACTCCAGAGGATGGAATAAAAAACCGGGAGTTCGGTTCAACTCAAAACACATTTACTGAGTGCTATGTCCTCGGAATTCAAAGATGAAAGGCAGTCCCCTCACCCTAAAGCTGCTCGGTCTCAAGCAGGAGTCAGGGCCCAAACCGTGAAGAGCTCAGGCTTCATAGGCGCAGAGACAATGTTCGCAATGCTCCCAACAACTGTTCGCCTCAGAGGCTGTCTAATATACATTTATATTTTATATTTTAAAATATAAAAAAAATGTTCTCAGCTCCCAGGCCATACCACAAACCAAAAGAGGTGGGCTAAATTTGGCCCGTCGGTTGTCGTTTGCAAGTCGGTGAGTCAGTGAGAAAGACAGCCAGCCAGACGTTGTGTATGCAAAATGGTGTGTGATGTAATAGACGTGAGTCAGGGTGCTAAGGGGGCAAAAAGGAGGGACATCTCCCCCCTTGGAAGAAGGACCTAGAACAGTGCCCAGCACACAGAAGGCACGTGATTATTCATTCAACATTCAAGCACCTGTCATCTTCTAAGGGCGGGGATCCCTGGAACTCACCTTCTAGAGGGGGGAAGGAGGCAATGCACAAATAATGAGCGAATGGGGCGGGGTGCAGGGAGGTGTCCGCGGAGGCTCTCCGGGAGAGGTGGGGCCCCCAGTAACAGGCGAGAAAGAATGGCACAAAAGACAAGGAAGCACGTGAGCAGGGCTTTGCGCTGCGCGTGGCAAACGGGCTGCAACTCCTTTAACAAGACCGAAAGCATTGCATGAAGGCAGGGAACAGAAGGAGGTGACAGTGGAAGGGCTGGCTGGGCCAGGAGGCCTCAGAACCCCGAGAGCAAGCCCAGGAAGGAGATGGGGGCTTTATTTTGGCGAGGGGTCAAACACGCAAGGGAGCGACACCATCCAATCTTTCTGCTATTGGCGTCTCGTAATAAGCCCCATTTAATTTACAAATCTTCAGGCAACAGAGAGAGAAAAAAAAAAAGAATGAGTCAATTCTCCTCAATAAAGTATAAGGCCAGAAAAAGGGTGAAGTGGGGATCACAAGTCTGCTGTTCCTTCCAACGACTCATTCACTCAACAAATACCCAACATTCACTGATGAAGGAATTCTAGTTCTCCTTTCTTCAACATGAAAAAGAGCTTAAAAACACCAATGAAATAATCTGAGTATACAACTCTAAACGTTTACAACTTTGCACACTATTTCACACTTTTCACATAATTTAACGTCATGTTTTTGGGGTTTTGGGGTTTTTTTTAGGAATTCAGCACCGCTGAGGTTTTCCAAAGCATTCCATTTATTTCTATTCAAACAGCTCTAACAAGTTCTATCGGGTTTGATTTTTAACTAATTTTTGTATTTAATTGTTGTCATAAGTAGAACTGGCACGAAAAGAACTGTACACCGGTACTAATGACTTCTAGAAAGCACGAAGCAAATGGTGACGGGCTGAGCCAACCCTCAATTCCTCTCCAAGGATGAGTCTCTCACCCTACAAAATGAGCATGTACACAGGGTCTCATTTTCATCAACAGTGCGCAATTCAGTCCAATGGTCTGAGTCCTGGCATGCCAGCGAGGGCCCCGCTAGCCTCATACGCTCATTGTGTGTATATTTACAGAGGGAATGGAGAACATCCTTTGATCCAAACAGGTCATTAGAAATGGGTGGAGAGGGTCCAACGTGCAGAATTCTTTTCCTGCATGAACAAGCCTCCTTGGGCCGCTAGGGGGCAGCAGGACAACCGCGCACAGACGCCTGCGGGGTCCTTCGGGGTAGCTTATCAAGCTAGGCATTCCTGGAAGGGAGATCGTAAATTCAGCGCGGCCCCCTGCGCCCGTGAACTTTTCCTTCACCAGAGCTTGCCCCAACTTTCCCAAACATAAATTTACACATTGTCTTTTGGTTTTATTACTAAAATTTATGCTGGTGGCCTGACCCAAACGATCACGCTGGTGTTCCAATCTTCGAGGCCTCGTTCCAAGTTTTAATACCTGGCTGAAAGAAGAGCACGTTTCAATTCCTGTTAAATAATAATTACGTGCATATATGCGTGTAGGTTACCGGCACAGAGGACAAAAACCAAGAGCATTATACTGAAAGGGGAGATAGGGGATTTATCTTATTTGGTATACAACACTTTCTAAATTCTTCACATTGATATATATATATATATATATATATATATATATATATATATTATGCTTTATAAAAATGAGGTGCTTTTCACCTAAGAAAAAAAAAATAATAAATTAAATTAGCTCAAACTTTTAAGCGACTGGGCTCAGATGTTTCCCTCCTTATAAGGGAATCCTGATTTATGATGGCTTCACTTGAACTCTGCCTCTCTCTGTCCATCTGCTCTACCTCAACAAAAACCCCTTTAATCTGCTGTGTTTGCAGAGCAGTTTCTGACTAATAACCCCAGCAGGCCCATCCCTCAGCGAGCTCTCCTACTGTATCTGTCTCAGCCTCCAGGCCTGCAGCTCCATCCCAAGAGGAAGGTGGTGGGAGCCACAAGCCCATGAGGTCCCTTGTGGTTTTTCATCTCCGCTCCCTCACTAGCATTTTAGTTTAGGGGAGAGGGGGGTGAGCCTCAGCTTTGCAGCTTCCACAAAGGGAGACCCTCAGAGGCTCCCACTCTAAGGAGCTCACACCGGACCTGACCATCAATGTGGACTTCCTGTCCCTCGCTGCCATGTTTTGGGCCATCAAAAATGTCATGCAGGCCTGCGAGCTGAACTCGTGTTGAGAGTGTGTGTATGTGTGTGCTCTGAATGAGAAAAGATAAATAAAGCCCAAAGAACAAAATGGAGGACAAGTAGCAGGAAGAAAAGCAAACACTGAAACTTACATTCCAACATTCACTGGGGTTTTTCCCACCACTACAACTGGCTGCTGACATCTGAATACATGTGCCTATCTAAGGGGCTCTCAAGTTGGTGGGGATGGCACCGCTAGGGCGGGAGGGAGAAGTGGGAGAGAAAAGGGGCCCAAGTTAGATGAAGGGCCAGCCCCAGGGCTGGGATTCACGCACAGAACAAAAAAAACTCTCAAAACTGTGGAAAGGACCCAAAACACATGATTTCTAACCTGACATTAACCATTCTTCTGAGTTTTCTACCACCGTGCTCGCAAAAAAGGGAAGAACAAAGATACAGATGCACTTGGCAGAGCTTCCTGTCTTCCTAACAAAGAAACTTCAGAAATTAAAAAACAAAACAAAACAAAAAAACCCCAGCATGTTTACAGCGATTGTTATTACCTGTCTCAAAACAGAGGAGGCACTCTCCCCAGTCCATTCGTTATCTGACTAGAAGCACAGACTCTCCCAGTACCCCACTAAGTTGAAGTTAGCAGGCATACTTTCCAAGCACTCCTGGTTTCACTGTTTCACTGTTTTCTCACCAACTCGCTGCCCCCCCCCCGCCATTCCTGAAACAGAAGTGCGACCTGTGTGCTCCTCCAGTCAAACCTTGGGTGAATGACCTACTATTGTCATCTTACGATTCTTCGTAACTTCTAAGCAATCCCCGTTTTCATTTGCACTAGGCCCCACACATCACGTAGCTGAAGAGATGTAAAAATACCCAGTAGCATCTTTTTTTCAAGTGCACAGGAAAACCTGGCCCCATCCTAGGAACTGACGCCACATAAACTCTTAACTTTTCCCCTCAGACCTCTTTTCTCTTTTAGACCCTGTGACACCCCAATCTCCAGCCTCTAGGCACTGGGATTTTTTTTACATGCATTTGCAGAAATTCTACAGAAGTTGGGTACGGGATTTTCACAAAGGTTAAGTGGAAAATTCTCCACCGGCCACATCGTCAATCATTAAATGCCTCTATAAAATAAATTTATCCCTTTCAGCTTTCACCACTTCACCCAACCCGCCTCGGAGCCAGAGTTTATAACAGGGAACAAACTTCCAATTACTAGAGCTGTTTATTTCTGTAGAGATGGACCCCAAGCCTTTCATAAGCAAACCCACTGAGCCCAAACCATGCTTTTCATGGATGACAGCTTCAGAATAAGAGCAGATTGTCTACATTGCAGGGAGAAACCAGATGTTTCCCTTAAGTCGAAACAAGCAAATGACAATTCAGTCAAAAGGCAGAACAGCCTGCAAAAAAAAAAAAGAAAAAAAAAGTTAAATAAATTCCGGGGGCACTAGAATGTGAGGGCCGATTTTGTGGCCTCCAAACGCCTCCAGCTATACGTCTATTTTTCACTGTGCACGCAGGACGGGGATTGCTT